TATTCATGCTGTATTTCTTACCAAGAGGACATGCATCACACTTGAAATAAGATGTACAATGTATTACTTAGATTTTAGCTGAAGGAAGTTGATGACAGATTCAAAACTTTAAAGGTAAAAGTAACATAATCTACATGTAAGCATCATACCAAAAAACCCCACCAAAAAAACCCCCAGAACCACCAAAACCCACCTCCACCCTACCTGAAATAAGAAAATTTGAGGTAAGTACTTCTAACAGCCCTTACCTACCGTATCTCCAAGCCCTTCCAGCAAAGCAAGTCCTTTTCTGATTATTCTTCTATGAAATTTATAAATTGACTTTGCAACATGATGAACTAAATACTCCAACTTTAATATTTTGCATTCATAACAAAAACAATTAACAGTTTTTACAAATAGTGTTATTTACTAAAACAGTTCTTGTACAACAGTGCAGTATATCTAAATATATACATCTGCCAACATCAAAGGGAGCATCAAAACAAACAAAACCAAAAATGCACTTTGCTACTGTGTACACTTTATTAAAACCAAAGCAGACTGCAGCAGGCCTCTTCTCTTTTTCATGACAAAGACAAAAATTATTTGGATTTCCAGAAGCACATGCAGGATAGAAGAACAAAAAATCCTACCACCCTTTTGCCAAGGTGGCAGCATGAAAAGTGAATTTTTGCTCTGCAGTTTTACATAGTAGCAAATGGAATGTTTTTCAGAACAAACACCCTAATTTAAGAAACAAGGCTTCAAAAACGTACAGTGTTTTTTACACATTGAAGAAAAAAGTTCAAATGTCAAGGCCTTGCCATGTTTTACTGTGGCCTTGGATAGTATACACATGATGTTTAATATTCTTTATAGCAGCTGAAAATGAAAAAGGAGTATCTGTAGTGTGGAGTTGGTCAGCTTTACTATGATTGAATAACAGAGTAAAAAATGATTCTGCCTGCTGTTAGCAATGGAGGGTTTTGTAGCAATTTTTACTTCACCTTTTTCATTAAAAAAAATCTCCTCCCAATTTTTAACCGGAAAAATTATGCTCTCTTGTTCTTCAAAACAGATACATGCATCTCTCCAAAGGAAGCTGCATTTGTGCCATTCCAAGTGCCACTGTAGCCGCTGTTAGAGATGTTCTTTTTCAATCTGTCTGTGAAATCCAGCAGACAAGGAATAAGGTTGAGACTTTTACATGTAAAGACTGCACAGACATCTTTGAAATTCGAGTGAAAAATAAGGTAAGTAGTATTAGAGAAAGGACTAAAAAAATTGGAGAATGAGGTATTAAGCAGTTCTCCAGTGTAAATCTGATGTTCCTGCCATCTAGATGAAATCAGAGAACTATAATAGCAGCCTAGATTTGATCATCATAATACGTACATGCCATTAAAAGTAAATTTATCTCCTTTGTTACATCTAAGCATCTGCAGTCTGGTGGAATCCTCTGAAGTTCTGGTTACTCAAATTGATTTCAGTTCTCCACCCCTCAAAATTCAGGAATAGTAACTGTACCATGAGGGCAATATGGTGCTCTACACCTGTTGAGAAGCATGCAGTAATTTTTGTATTTTGCTCCTTTTTACTGTTGTTTTACTGCTGTCTATATGGACTTTGGCCGGTGACATCAAACATGCACCTGCATGGGTACCGATGACTCTGGAACGTACTGCCACGACATCAGTGTAGCAAATTCTAACAGGCTGCCTCAGTATTTTTCCTGGGATGCTCTACAGTAAATCTTGACATCTTTGTTATGTCCACATAAATTGAGATGATACACATGGGTAAACAAGCTTAGTTTATAGCAGTGAAATGCACAGAAGGCACTTTCCAGAGTTTGCTCCAGTTCATGACAAACAAGCCACTAAAATACCCCTTCTGAAGTTAATTAATGTTTCTGTATTTCTTAACGAAAGGGTTAAATAACTAAGATTTATACAAAATATTATGAAAACATTTTAGCCTTGCATTGACAATTTGCATGTAAAGAAAGAAGACATTCACAAATTAGGTCTTCTGTTGGAGCATGAGTAACGCATCATTTCCAGGGATTCTTGACTTTCAGTTAGATTAACTTCCTGGCACTTTACTTGCCAAAAAGTTCTTCCATACAGCAGCTGTACATGTACTCTCCCCCTCTCACCCGCAGTCAGTGTTCAATACCATCATAAGACAGAACATACGTGAACTTGGTCAAAACAATGCATAAATGAGGAATCTCAGAATAAATCACCACAAAGAAGCCCCAGCAATGGCATCTCCAGGTTCATGCTACTAAACCAGCTGAGAGGAGGTGAATTGAAATATAATTTCTAAATTATCAGTTAGAGAGGATACGAGAGGATGAGTGAAGGAATTAGTGCAATGACAGCATCTAGCAAGGTAGGAGGAGGCATCACCTTAGAGTATCTAGCATGTGGGACACAAGTGAGAAGACAGAATAATCTTTTCTGATAAATGAGAAAAATCAATATGAAGCAATACACCTCCAAATTCAATTTAATTTGAAAATTGCATCTGAAATGGAAAATGTAGGATGAAATAGAAACATTAAGACTCTGAACTTAAAAATCTAGTGACCTACTGTACCAATTGTGGACAATGAAAACTGATTCCAAGTCAACTAAAATTCACAATACATTACAGGAGATACCTTAAAGCAGAGACTCTAACATGGTATGAAAGGAAATAAAAAGTGTCCATCTTTTTTTTCCAAAACTTTTATTATACTTAAGTTATAGTGACATTGCATTTTAGAAAGTGTTTTTTGGTCATGATGAACACAAATGAAAGATGATTTTAATTTTCTTCATGATGGAAAAATGCCCAAAGTAAGTTGGAAGGCAGAAAAAAATTAAGATACACCTAAGTTTTCAGTGTTCAAAGGAGAAACAGAAATAAGCATTTCTGTGTGTTAAGACGACTTAAAAAATTTTAAAACCCCCCACAAATTAGTAACAAAAAGTATTTTTGCCGAGTCATTGCTGTACAGAAAGAATTCCATAGGCCCTTATTGGAGAACACGTGACACAACATGTGAAAACCAAAGAATACAAACAGTCAGTGTCAGCCGGACTATTTTCATGCTTCAAGCTCCTCCTTGAATCAGGGCCTAAGAACTAGGGAGTAAAAAGATATTTTCACTTTTGTGTAGAAATTATGCTCCTATACACATTGTTTCTCTGATTTTGGAGTAAGGTACCTAAAGCATACAGACAACACTATCTAAATGATACTACATGCCCTTTCTAAAGAAGATCGCTTCATCAATCTATTAAAAATTATCTAGGACAATATCTTGGATTCTTTTTTTTTTTTTTTTAGTATTTCCTTTCAAATTCCACAGACTTCTGTGATGACACCAAGTACTGAAGTAATAACAGTTTGTGAGGGTGCTTAAGAATTCTGGAGAAAAAAAAAATATGTGAAAATACTAGTATCAAAACAGACAGCTGGCTAGACCATCCCCAGCTGGAACACATCAGCTATGGGCACGTTTTATAACCACCCCAGTTAGAAGCTGTGCAAAGTAGTCATCTGAAAGCATTAACAGGCAGAACACCAGTGTCTATTAAAAGAGTGAAACAAAAAGGCTTGTTAGGTAACTGTGAACAGAGACAAGAATGTACGGGGTAACAGGTAAGCTTACAATATAATATACAATTGCAACACTTAATTCCAAAAGCATCACACTAAAATATAGTACACAAAAGCGAACAATCTTTGACAAACACACTAACAAGACTGAAAACACAGATCTGATGTTGAAGCCATCTAGCATTGCTCTAATTGGAATTCGAGTCGCTGGAAAAAATAAGAGGAAATCAGGATGCATTAACAGATTGAACAGAAATGCAAAGTAACCCAGTATTTGTACAAGCAACTCTGATCCAAAATGCTGTCTTCCACCACCACGTTCCTTTTGCAGCACCTCAGCTGTAGAAAGAAAATGCCAGGCTTCCAAGAGCCACCTGGCTAAATTGCTGAGAAATGCAAGGGTTTAAAACGGCTAATGCATGTTGCTGCAGAAGAGAATTCAAAGTAACCTGAAAGTGAATAAAAATAAGATGCCTCATAAACTATTCATACCATAGAAGGGCTAATAAACTCAAGTGGTACAACTGGAAATTCAAACATGTTTAAGGCAGAAGTGTTTGTGTAAGAACAGTAAACAGAACAAATTGCTAAGCAAGGCCACAAGAGATAAAATGAAGCCCTGAAGATTTGTTCAGCAAAGTGATTTAAATGTCCATAATTCTCCATATTGTAATTAAAAAGACTTGAATAAAGTAGTGTTATTCATGTTGTGTATTCCAGTTTACACTCCACCGTTTCTTCTCCAACTCCATTCCTCTGTCTTTGGTGTAATCTCTACCAACACACATAGAATACAGCTCTGGTTCTCAATGTGAAAAACAACTTGGAAAAAATAAATTACATGCTTCTCGTGATAAAATGCAAGATCCTGATCTGTTGCATGGTCCCATGATATGTTTAGCAGCCTCTGAATAGTAGTTTTAAGTTATTAATTATATCTGAAGCAGAATCATAATTTGCTGTTATCCCCCCAAATCACTTACTAGTTAACTAGTTTACTTTGGTAGATAAGCCGTCTAATAGTCATGATACACTTGTGTTCAAGAAGTAGTGAAACCTAGACTCGGATAAGTTTGTAAATTCATATATAGACCTTAGCTTGTAAGTGTAACCATGATATGCAGAATTTCTGCTTTTTCTGCACTGGAAAAAGACATCACATCTGTCATAAAACTAGACAAAACTACGTAACATGGTTGTCAGTTCATGACTAAAATAAAATAGTAAAGTAAATTATTTTTAAACATTGTGTTAAATATATTCACATGATCACCATAGCTACACAAAATGGCCACTATTGCAATCACACACTATATGTACATAACATATATGCCACAACAGTTTGCAAGTGTTGAGTTTTCACAGATTAGCCAATTTTACCAGACATAAATAATCTTGTACCAACTTTTAGGCATTTTAAAAGGAATTAAATGTCCTAAATATATCCGTTCCTCTGCAAAATTAAAAGAAAAAAAAATCCCAAAAAGTCAGTGCAAATTGAACTTGTCCACCAAGATAGATTCTTATTAAGCTGAGAATAAACAAAGTTTAAGAGATTAAAGGAAGAAACTCATAGAATTGCCAACTGCCTTTAGCAGAGGTTAAAGAAGATGAGAAATCAGAAGTCCTGGATCCTATAGCAGAGCCTTCTGTGAGTAATTATGCTGTGGCTGTTGAGGTGGTGGAGGCTGTGGCTGTTGTGGAGGTGCTTGTTGACTGCCTGCTGTCTGTGGCAGAGGTGTAGATGGTAAGTTATAGTTTGGCACCTGGGACATATTAGTTCCAGCATTTTGATAAGCAGCAACATCAACAGTAGCAGGTGGTGGACTATACACTGAAGCCTGGTTAGAGTAAGTATTTCCAGCAACAGAGCCAACCATTGCACTGAAAAAAAAAATTAAAGTTGAATTAACAAACAATTTACCAACAACACCACTTTAGTGCTTCTTCAGTTGTTCTATATATACACACAAAAATCTAACTCTGGACACCTTGCGTATTTAAAACTACAGCAAATGAAAATTCCAGTTAAAACTCAAACACACTCCTCAGATGTAAACACACTTAACGGACCTCCCATGGATTTAAAACGAGACTGTGAATCTATACTTTGTTTTATTTTAATGTGCAGCATGGCATACCATCTATTTTCCATTCTGCTCATGAATAAAAAAAAAGGAAATCAAAACCCAGCCAGCTGTTCTAAACAGCAAAACAAGTCAGGTGAAGTATGCAGAAACTCACTTTATCAATATATTTTACCACCCCACATAAGTAACTTTGGGGGACAGAGACTAACAAATACTTTAATAACTCAAGATGGATGTCTCTCCCAACTTCAGAAAATAAAATTACTTTATACAGAGAATAAAAATTAAAAAAAAAAAATATGCAAAGCCAAAATAAAAAAAAAGGTCAATTCAAAACTTTTTCACAATATAGATAGGTTAGCCAAAGCTAAGCATCTTTGGGCATCTACCCAAAACAGAAAGCCACTTCTGGGTCCTTTCTATGGGGAAGCTGTACAAGCTTTAGGAAGGGTTCATAGCCCATGCACTTCTTTTCCAAAACGAGCAGAAATCTCACCATGCTTCCACAGTAGGATATTTGAAAAAAGAACAACACAATATACACTATTTCAGAAGTTATGCAAAGCCACCCAGAACAGCAGATAAGCTTCACCATTAAATGTATATTATAAAAAAAGTCATATAATTTTCTCTAATTTTTCATTTATATAAAAGAAAAAAAAATATATATAAATTATGTATTTCTTATATATAAAATTAAAAACTAGAGAAAGCTGTAAAAACAACAAAGAAGTTTGAAGCTTGTCAGGAATTTTTACCAAGTACATGACACCAATAAAAAGCATTCTGGAAATAATTGCATTGAGGTATCTTTCAGTTGGGCTTAAAATTATACTTCTGTAAGAAAATAAACCTCCTTTAAATGCTACCTGTAGTCCTTTATGTTGAAATTGATTTAAACGTGAATAGGAAAATACTTAAAATTACTTTGTGTAAGACGTCTGTGCAGGCTGACCAGGCAGCACTGAGCTGGCAGATGGAGTAACTGTGCCTTGGCTGAGAGAAGGGAGCTGTTCAGGAGGAAGATTATAGCCTTGAATATGGCCCATCTGTGCACTCCCTGCCACCAAATATGCATTACCTTGAGGTTGCCCCGGATAAACCTAGGAAGTTAAATAACGGTATATTAAAAATAAAATACAGAAATGGTATTTAATATCTGACTTCAGAACTGAAAGACAGTCTCTCAAACCTTTTTTTACAGATGCTTTAATAGAAAGCAACTGTCTTCTATCGAATGCTGCAGCATAAAAAAAATACCAGATTTTCAAAGGACACTATTTACGTCTCTAACCTCAGGCTCCAGTACCAAAAAGGTCAACTAGTTCATTGGAAAACTCGTATTCCAAATTTTATTTTAATGACTATCACTCGTGCTACTTCAGAGCTTCTACTTTTGAATGAAAATGCTGAAGGATTTCAATCACGTATCAAATAGCAGTCCAAAGCAGAATACTTTTTGATGCCCAGATAACTTTCACAAGTAGAACATGAAAGTGGAAAGCAAATCATGTATTCTTTTCATGTTATTAGTTAACCTAACATTTTCTGTAACTGTTGAGACTGCCATTGTATAATTGTTTGAGTGGAGCAGAAGAGAAAAAGACGTCTTAAGAAAATTCCAATCAAAATAAAGTAACACTCTAAAACTAACTAGAGGAAAAGATTTTCGAGACAAAATTTCTAAACCCTATGTTTTCATTCAATCATGAATTATTTGCCTTAACACAAATTACTAGAAGAAATTATCAGGTCTCATGAACAACTGAGTTCATGCAAGTCTATGATCTACAGCCCTCCTATCTTCAGATCCATGTATCTCAGATGACATATTCATAGAAGACTTAGCAAAATTGCAAAAGAATTTTAGAAGGCAGCAAAGTCATGAGACCTCCTAACTTTTCAGAACTTTATACTGGTTCATGGACACCCCAAAGTACAGTTTTTTCCCTTTAAGAATCCCAGACACATGCCCATTTATAAAACATTAAAATTATTCTACATGATTGCTTATCATATATGAATGGAAGACAATGTTCCTCTTAATGACACTGCAAAAACATACATCCTCTTCTTAGAGCACACTGAAAGAAAGTATGTATTTGTAGGAAGCTAAAAGAACCAAACCTGCTTTAATATTTATATAATACTGCGAAGGTATTAGTAAGTTGGCTTGAATGGTTTTTTACTCACTCAAAAAGCAAGTAAATTATTGAAAAAACAGTTTTAAACGTTACGTATTCCAATAAACAGGAAAATAATACACCAAGTATTCATTAGACTATGGAACTAAACATTTAAATGTTTAAAAAAAGTTTTTAAAATACCGTAGTATATGAATAAGCTAAAAGACCACACCCAGTCAATTACATGGAAATGCTACCATGAAAGAATTGTAATTTTTAACTTCAGTAATTTCAATGCTAAATGCTCTTTACTGATATTTCATAACAGGGAAACTAAAAGCAGAGATTGATTTTAGGGTGGGGAGGGCACAATCTTAAACAGGAAATGTACTCTTTTGGTTCTTCACTTTCTTTGACCCACTGTGCAAAGGCCTGGCAGCTTTCATTTCTAATTTTATGTGCAACTCAAAGCACAGGATGGGCTTTTTCCTTAATCAAAAAGAATTGAACAGAAAAGAACTAAAAGTGTTAGAACCTGCAAAAGGAGAATATTCAAACCTTGCAGCTGAATACAAACAACATTTTTTTTTTTACATACAGTATTGAAAGAAAACACTGCTCTTTCATTTGAGATTATCTCTGAGGGAGCAAGATGATTTTAACCTAGCATTAAGGTGCAAAGATCATAAAAAGAGGTTGGCAGCCGGTCACGAGTGGTGTTCTCCAGGGCTCAGTTTTGGTGCCAGTGTGTTTAACATCTTTACCAGTGATCTGGATGAAGGGGTTGAGTGCTCCTCAGGAAGTTTGCAGATGACACCAAGCTGGGCTGGAGTGTCGATCTGTTTGAGGGTAGGAAGGCTCTGCAGAGGGATCTGGACAGGCTGGATGGGTGGGCCGAAGCCAACTGTATGAGGTTCAACCAGGCCAAGTTCCAGGTCCTGCACTTGGGTCCAACCACCCCATGCAATGCTACAGGCTTGGGGAGGAGTGGCTGGAAAGCTGCCCAGCAGAAAAAAAATCTTGGGGTGTTGGTCGACAGCCAGCTGAACATGAGCCAGCAGTGTGCCCGGGTGACCAAGGAAGCCAACAGCATCCTGGCTTGTGTCAGGAATAGTGTGG